CTGATCCCTGATCCCGTCGACACAAGCTGGTGTGCTTCTTCCATGTGGGCTTTGTTGCTTCTGAGCTAGATGGCCGCTTGTTTACCTTTAAGTCTTTAAGACCACAGACGCTATATCTTTTGGTAGCCAAACACCATCAGGTTTCTTCGCCACATTTCACTCAGCTTTTTCTTATTAGTAGTATTTTATACTAATGTCAGGACTAGAAAGATGACAGCAGTTAAGTATTAAGTCCAATAGACTTGAGTTTCCTATCACCATTGCTTTTTTTATATAGCTTCCACCCACTCTTTTCTGGAGGGGTGTGGTACAGTTCTGTGTAGTTCTTACCGCACGGCCAGCATATAGACTGTGCTAGCAAAGACCTTCCCTTTATACCCTTTTTCCACTCACACCCTCCCCACCATCATATGCTCCATTTTAATAATTCAGACATTTTGAGGATTCTATATGCCTGGAAGAGGTATTCATGTCAAGAGAAAGCATATGATCAAGAAACTATGGTCTGAAGGTAGAGATCCAGGGGGCCCTGAAGGCATTAGCAAAATGGACTATAGAGACCAAGTGCCTCAAATCCCATCAAGGGCGCCACCAACCAAGTTACAAAGACTAAGGGGGCCCTCATGACCTGACTGTGGGAGCTGTAGTAATCCACTTTCAAACACACTGCTTGAGGGCAAAGCTTATCATCTACAATCAGAAATAATTCAATCAGGGCAAAATATATGTGGAGAGGCAACAATGGACGTAGGGCTCTCAATTCTAATCATTTATATTTTATATAAGCTTATTACATATCAAGACTAGAAAGATGACAATGGTTAAATATAAGTCCATTGGAGACTTGAGTAGATGTCATTGATGCTTTTAACATTTTCTTTCCATCCCTTCTTTTTGGGAGGGGTGTGGTGTCGTGTTATTCTCTATCATTCTTACCATTAAGCCAGGATGTAGACTGTCCTAGCACAGACTCCCTATGTACATTTTTTATACTCACACTCGCCCCACTACCCTATGCTTCAGTTTAATAACTCAGACATTTTGAGAATGCTATATACATGGCAGGGCTATTCATGACAAGAGGAAGCATATGATCAAGAAGCTATGGTCTGAAGATAGAGACCCAAGGGACCCTGAAAGCAATAGCAAAATGACTATAGAAGCCAAATCCCATCAAGGGAAAAAGCAAGCAACTTAGGAAGGCTGGGCAGCTTCTCCCTGACCTCACTATGGGAGAAAAAGGAATCCACTTTCAAACATACTGCCTGTGGGCAAAACTTTTCATGTTGTTGTTGTTCTACAATCAGAAATAATTCAATAGAGGCTGAATATCTGTGGAAAGGCAAAAATGGATTTAGGCTTTCGATCTAAGCCATTGCCTTGTGTAAAGTTTGTGCTGAGAATGTATGCTAGTAGTTGTTTATTGGGTTACTCTCCAAAAGATTAGCCATTCAAAACCATAGCCCCTCCTCAGGAAAAAAGGTTGTCTACACCCAGAAAGAGTTACAGTCTCCGAAACTCACTGGTAGTTCTACCCTGTCCTATAGGGTCCCAATGAGTTGACTTTGACTCAATGGCAGTGAATTTGGTTGTTTGGGAAGTATGGTTCTAATCACCTAACACAGTCTAAACTTTCCAGTAGACAGGTAGTATTTAACCACTGTGCCAAAAAGGACTCTTGCTTCACTAATGTGTTTCTTACTATTGGTGAATTATACTTTTTGAGATGTTTCAGCAAGTGCTCGGTGATGTTGAGCCAGGTCTGAATTACAGCAACCCTAGGTAATATTTTAGGGTACCAAAGAGCCCATATCTCAAATGCAACTCATGAAGAACATATATCAAGTCTTCAGACATGACAACGAAAGAAAACTATATCGATAAGGGAGATCATTAACTTTAAAAAGGACATGCAAGAGCAGAAGAGATGTCATAAAGTCATCAATGTTGCAGATCTGTCCATCACAGCTACAGGTGAAACCACAAAAGGGAACGGAGCTGTGACGGAGAAAGGTACATCATGTTAGACAGAAACTCTTACAAAATTAGTCCAGAGCCTTTATACTAAGCTTGTCAGCAAAAGACCACTTGGGCTTGTTGCATAGTTTTGAGACCCCCAGTAAATGAATTTCATCATGAACACACCCAGGCAAGCCCCTAATTGAAACTGCCCCTTCCAGAGTGTGCCTGGAGTAGAAGTGGAAGAAATCCACTTACTGATGCCCTCTGCCTGAGGGCAAGATTATTCATAGTCTGCTCAATTGTCAAAAGGGATTCGTTGAAGGCTTAATCCATGTGGGGAGTCTGAAAATAAAGGTCGGTCTTTCAATGTCATCCACATTGCTGTTAGGTGCCATACAGTCAGCTTGGACCACATTGACCTCACGTACATCACCAGGAATTCTCACAATTGTTCCTATGCCCATTCACATACATGCGGGCACTGTATCAATGAACCTTCGTGTGGCCTTTCCTCTTTATTTTTGCCACTCTGTTTACCAAGCATGTTGTCTTTCCAGGTACTGGTCTCTCCTGACAATGTGTCCACAGTACATGAGACAACGTCTCAGCATCCTTGCCTCTAGAACAGTGGTCCTCCACCTTTTTAATGCCATGACCCTTTCGTACAGTTCCTCATCTGGTGGTGACCCCCCAACCATAAAATTATTTTCGTTGCTACTTCATCACTATAATTTTGCTACTTTTATGGATCGGGCGACCCCTGTGAAAGAGTCGTTCAACCTCCAAAGGGGTCGCAGCCCACAGATTGAAAGCCAATGCTCTAGAATCACTCTGCAAACTTCCTTCAAACAGATGGGCTTGACCTCCGAGCGGTCCATGAAATCTTCAATATTATCTCCAGCACACAATTCAAAGACAGGTCTTCTTCTCTGATCGCCTTTATTCAGTGTCCTCCTTTCACAGCATACGAGGCAATGGAGAATGCCATGGATGGTATCAGGCAGTCCTTAGTCTTCGAAGTAGCAAACAAGGCATTCAGAAAACTGGTAGCTCAAAAGCGAAGCTGTACTATGCATGTTCTTCTCACTACAGTACTTTCATCTAGAGAAAGGCCAGGAGTGGCTCACCGTTGAGGCTCTGCTCAAGAGAATGATGAAGATGGTTTCTGCGGGACTGTGTTCTGTACAAGAAGATCCCTCACTCACTGAGCTCAATGGAAAGAAACCAGTTCCCTTCAGATCAATTCCAACACCTTCTAAAGGACTTCCTAGCCATAGTCCTCTTTCCTCATCTTTCTCTCTCGACTGAATTGACTTGAGACTAGAGGGGCTGTTGCCCAAATTGGTGGGTCTTTGTCTATGTTATTAGCTCCTCAAACAAAAGGAACACTTCCTGCCAAAAAACAGATTTTATGATCCGCTTAGATAATGACCAGCGTGTGGTGTCTTCTCACAAAAATGGATCACATTTCATAAAATGAGGATTCTGCAACATTTAATTGTGCTCCTGTGAACCCTGTAGCAAGAGGCAATCTTTCTAAGAGAACTAGAGATACTATGGTTTCAAATGCAGAAGAATGTGTGTACAAGTTTTATTGTTTCACACTTCATTGAAGTTAAACAAATGCTCTGATAGCTGGAATATTCAAAAAGGTGGCAAAAGCTTTGATGGCTTCCAACTTCCGATGCTCGATGGCATTATCCACAGAGTCAATCCATGGTAGACAGATGATCCCACCTTGCTTTCTGAAGATGACGAGGACTTGACACATCTATTGGTGAAAATCAATGGCTACCTTCTTAGTGTGGATTGCACAAGAATGCCATAGAAATAAACATCACAATAAAACAAGAAATGTTTTACATTGTCAAGGGTTTCCTTTCATTTGGATCCACTGTCAATGCTTAAGGAAGCAGCAGTCCAGAAATCAAACGCTGCATTGCATTGGGTCAGTTGACTGAAGAAGACCTCTTTAAAGCCTTCCAGTCCCCGGAGGACTAAGGTATGCCTCCCTCAAGCCTTTCCCACCTGTATCTTGAGAGCATTTCAAGAACAGATTTGATGCCTTGCACACTAGTGAGAGAGGACGGAATGAGCTGTGGGAGGACATCAAGAACATCCTTCATTCGGAAAATGAAAGGTAAAGACAGGAAAGAAAGAAGAGATTAAGGTGGCTGTCAGAAGAGACTCTGGAACGTGATCTTGACCATAGAGTAGCTAAAGCAAGTGGAAGAAATGATAAAGTCAAAGAGCTGAATCAAAAATATCAAAGGGCAGCTTGAAGAGACAAAGTCAAATATTGTAAAGAATTGCATGATATAGGAATTACATTCCAATAAAACTGTTTGGGGAAACCGTTGTTTAAATAAATAAATAGATAGATAGATAGATAGATAGATAAAATAATGGCAGGGGGTGCTGGTGGGAAGCAGTGCATCTGCAATGTACATTCAAAGGGAGAAGGGTGAGGGCTTTCTCCTACTTTGTATATGTGGGGAAGGAACTGCCCCGGGGCTGGAAATCTGGCTTGATAAAAGGGGTGGTCAGTGTGAGTGGAAATGCACAATGAGTGTGATTGACATGGCCGTAGCTCCAGCAAGAAAGCTACCATGAGAAGCAATGTTTTCTTCTTTTGTGCACAGGGGAACTGTGGGTTGCAGCTGTAAGACTTCTACCTGAATTAGTTCTTTCATATTCTAAAGAAGACACTTGAATTCCATATCCTTTGTCCTTTTAAACATCTTTATTCTTAAAATATATTTAAAAGAAATAAAACAACCTATCATCAGGCAATGAGTTTAAAAAAATGTACATACTACCTCCCCTTCCTATTCCTCCCACTACTTCTAATTACAGTACAAATAAAAACAAATGCAAACTTATATTCAAAAAGTAAGAAATAAGAATACATTTCTTAGGATGCCCAATAGTGTTGCCCTTCCAGGTTGGGAGGGGAATTTACACTCAACACACCATCTGCTTAGTAAGGGGGATACCACACGGTGGCTATCAGAATTTACACTTAACACACCATCTGCTTAGTAAGGGGTATACCAGGAGGGGGCTCTCGACCCACCCCTGCGCACAGGGCGCCCCCGGTAGACTGGGCCCCCAGGCCTGTGGTGGAAACGCCCATGGGACTGAGACTCTGATCTGTGGTTGGTGGAGCGGCCACCATAGCGAGCTCTTGGGAAGCCCCGATTTGTGGTGCTCAGGCCTGGTCTGTTGGTTCGTTTGGGGATCACCTTGATTTGTCTGCCTCTGAAAAGGGACTCATCTAAGGACAAGGAAATCTTCGCCGACTCCTTGTCTGAGAACTCTATGTATGCAAACCCTTTGGGGTGGCCACTGAATTTGTCAGAGAGGATGGTGACACGGTTGATTGACCCACAGCCAAGAAAGTGTGCTTCCAGCTCTTCTGCTGAGGCTCCGTAGTCCACATTGCCAACGTAGATCGAGCGGGCATCAGCCTGCTTCTTCTCCTCAGGAGACAGGACCACCTGGCCTTGATTGCCTGCAGGTGAGTGCATCTTCATCAGCTGCGCCAGCTCTTTCTGCATCTCCTTTATCTTGTCAATTTCTTCCGTCATCTCTCTGACGTGAGCTTGGATGGCTTCTAGCTGCTGGTCGTCAGTGGCCTGGTCCACAGGCTCACGCTCAGAGTGTTTCAGAGTTCCAGGGTGTTTGGGGGCCTCTGAGCAGAACGGGAGCGAGTGCTCTACTTGTTCAGGCACTGGCTCTGCTTCATAGTCCAGCGACAACTCCTCAGGCTCCATCTCCTCGGGCTCCTCCTGCCTTTTCCTGTGGTCCTTTATGGCTCTTGGGAAGTCAGCATCTCCACTGGCCCCAGGCACAAGAGGGCGCTGTCCCCACCGAGCTCCTTGACTGCCAGCCCTGCCTGCTGCTTCCATGTCTGGAGATGTTGCTGCCATCTTCAAAGAGTCTGGGGGACGTTCTCTCTCCACGCCCTTGAGGGCTCCTTCTCCGTCACAGGATGGCTCCCTTAATCCCTAGAAAGGAACAATTGCCTCTTTAGTCCTGCATGCACATTGATCATTTGGCATAACCCCCAGAAGTTTGTGCTGACATACATAGTCCACTGCATCATTTTGTAGCTGCATGACCTCAGTTATCCTCCCATAGAAATGTAGACACGAACACCCCAAATAGGCCACTAGATGCCCAGGTATTTCTTTTGTTTCCCTTAATCATTTTATTGGGAGCTCATACAATTCTTATCACAACCCTTACATACATCCACTGTGTCAAGCACATTTGTACATTTGTTGCCTTCATCATTCTCAAAACGTTTTCTTTCTACTTGAGCCCTTAGTATCAGCTGCTCATTTTCCCCCTCTCTCCAGCTCTCCCTTCCTCCAAAACCCTTGCTAATTTATAAATTATTGTTCTTTTTTCATGTCTTGCACTGTCTGATGTCTCCCTTCACCCACTTTTCTGTTGTCCATCCCCCAGGGAGGGGGTTATATGTCAATCTTTGTGATTGGTTCTCCGTTTCTCCCCCAACTTTCCCCTTCCCCTCCTGGTATCTCTACTCTCATTTTTGGTCCTGAGGGGTTTATCAGTCCTGGATTACCTGTGTTTCCAGCTCTGATATATAACAGTGTACATCCTCTGGTCTAGCTGGATTTGCAAGGTAGAATTGGGATCATGTTAGTCGGAGGGGGAGGGGGGGGGGAACATTAAAGAACTAGAGGAAAGTTGTATGTTTCATCGGTGCTACCCTGCACCCTGACTGGCTCGTCTCCTCCCCACGACCCTTCTGTAATGGTATGCCCAGTTACCCACAGATGGGCTTTGGTTCTCCACTCCGCACTGCGCAATACGATTTTTTGTTCTTTGATGCCTGATACCTGATCCCTTTGACACCTCGTGATCACACAGGTTAGTGTGCTTCTTCCACATGGGCTTTGTGGCTTCTCAACTAGATGGCTACTTGTTTATTAAGCCTTTAAGACTCCAGATGCTGAGTCTTTTGATAGCAGGGCACCATCAGCTTTGTTTACCATATTTGCTTATGGACACATTTTGCCTTCAGCTGTTGTGTCGGAAAGGTGAGCATCATGGAATGCCAGTTTAATAGAATAAAGTGCTCTTGCATCGAGGGAGTACTTGAGTAGAGGCCCAATGTCCATCTTCTACCTTAATACTAAACCTATAAATATATGCACATAGATCTAGTTCCCTAATGTCATAGATAAATATATTTACATATGTACATGGCTGTATTTAGAACTCTATAAATGCCCTGTTATGCCCATGTATTTCTATCTCTATATTTTATCTGTCTGTTTCAGTACCGATCTCTTCCAATAAAGTCAAAATTGAATAAAAATTTAGTTTGCTATATCTCAATTTTTAGTATAATTTCTAATAAATTGGCCCTGACTACTCTATAGACCTGTATTTACAGCATGTTCAGCACAAGGAAATACTTGTCAGATTTTATATATATAAAATATATATGTATATATAAAGATATATATATATATATAGTAATTATATACAGACAGATTTGTTGCAAGGAAATGACTCACAAGGTGGTAGAAGCTTGCAAATTCCAAGTGTGGGGGTCACAATGCAGGCTGGGGGCTTCTGTTGGCACAAGTGCCTTCAGCAACTGAGGGTCAGGCATGGAAGATTGGCAGGCCAGAGTAAGGCTGCTTGCTGGCTCCCAGGTTTCAGAACCTCGGCAATCTGCAAGATCAGCAAGCAGTACAAAGGCTACTGAGTCTAGTCCGAGAAACCTGAAATCAGATCAAAGACGGATGCAGCAGGGTCCTGAGTGAGCAAAAGCACTAGAGAAACTGTCTTAAGAATGAATGTCCCCTGATACTCTGACACGGAAGCCCCCTTTCACCATGTAGACTGCTTCTGGGAGTGGCATCGCAGACACCATGGCATCAGTCTAGATCTCATTGTGGGGTTTGATGACAACAGAACTGCCCTAACAGAGAATCAAGACCCGGCCCCTTTGACACACAGCCTTAACCTTAACTAGATACTAGCCCTTTGTGAGCGATGCCTAGTACTGAAGTTTTCTTCCTTAAGGATTCCAGAACACCAATATAGAATAGATTCTCAGTCACAAAAACCCTAGGCATTTAATGCAAATGGGAAAAATAACAAATGAACAATTCCCAGAGGAGAATACACACCGAGACTGAATAAAGTTGCTGGAGGCCTGGAGACACAGGTTTGTAAATTCCAAGGGTGCTTACTTTCCCTGAGTTTCTGTGGCTCTATGGAAATGCGAAAGCAGCTTAAACTTTCCTTTCTTTCGGACATCAAGCTTAATTATTTATAAAATCTTTTTATTGGGGACTCTTATCACAATCCATACACACATCCATTGTGTCAAGCACATTTGTACATTCATTGCCCTCACCATTCTCAAAACATTTGCTCTCCACTTAAGCCCTTAGTATCAAGGTCCTCATTTCCCCCCTCCCTCCCCACTCTCCCCTTCCTCGTGAACCCTTGATAATTTATAAATTTTTTTTATTTTGTCAAGTCTTACACTGTCTGACGTCTCCCTCACTTCGCCCACTCTTCTGTTAAGTTTTTAGACCCTCCAGAAATCCCACCAGGAAAGAAAGCTGAGCAATCCTATTTTATACTTGGCCTGTTTTAGGAGACAGAAGGGAGCCCAGTCAAGTACAAATCAAGGACACTAGTCATTACATCTTACAGGACAAAGACAAGACAAAATCACAGACACATCATGGAAATGAGGGAGGCCATCAACACTAGGGCAAAAGGTGTCTGTGGAGTCCTAGGCAGGAGTCGATTAAGTAGGGCACAGAACAGAAGACTATCACAAGTTCATGATTAATGACAGCTCAATACTTCACCGTCCTAGTGTGACTACAGAAGAGGAAACAGGCCATGATTGGGACATATAGTTCATATTAGCGAGTAGAGTTTAAACAATTGCTCTGGCCCTTCTGATCAAGGCAGTCAAGGCATGGATGTTGACTATGCCACCCACTGAGCTGTCCCTAGGAGGCGATCTCCACCCAGGAGACCCCAAGTCAAGCCCCAAGGGTCTGTTTCTCCTTGGCCTGGCTGGAGGGGGCTGGAGGTCATCCGCTTCTAATGCATTGTGCCTGAGGACTAGATGACCTACATCCTTCATGATCAGAAGGGATTCAGTGGAGGCTTAATCTATGTGAGAACACACCGAAGGATTTGGGATTTCACTGTTATCCAAAGCCTCCATCAAAGAGGGTGCTCAGAAAAGAGGCTCTCCCACAAGTTACAATTATAGCATAGTAATTAAGCTCTGTGCATATTATTTAAGGTAGGGTCAAAATGATAGGTCCCAGATGGGGAATATCTAGCCCTCCGCCTTTATACGCTCTGGAAAAATCATCAATGCCAGCTGACATCACAAGTTTCACCAAAGAGAGACAGGCCCAACCACTCCATGCGGGGTGAGTCAATGAAATGTTTGCACAGTATGGTTCTCAAATGATGTTATGAATATTCAACCGTCCCATGACAGAAAAAAGAGTCCCTGCCCTTACAATAGATGGAAAGTACTCCTTGAAAACAGTCTTAAAAAAGGATTCTATTACGTTCTTTCTCTGTCACCTGTCACACCAGGAAGGGCAGTGTGTGGCTGACAATCTAGGCGCTTCCCCGAGACTGGACACCATGGTTTGTATTGGATTGCATTCTCTAGCCACAGACACCCCACTGTTGGAGCCAAAGAGGAACAAGGCAGTCGTCGTGGGATCAATTTCAACTCATTGTGAAGGATTTCCTAGGAATAAGCCTCTCCCTTGGCCTCACTTCCCAAGATGCCCTTCTTTAAGCATCAACCAAAATCAAGCCAACACATCATGCCAAAGAAATAGATATTTTCTGCTCAAATAAGGAACAGAAGGGAGTATCCTGACCAAAATGGATGTCATTATGAGAAATGGGAAATCCAGAACACTAAAGTGTGCTCCCATGGGACCTGTTGCACATTTGACTTCATATGCCTTCTTACACACACACACACACACACACACACACACACCTCAAGGAAATAACTCACCACGTAGTGGAGGTTGGCAAATTCCGAATCAGATGGCAGCCTGGAGGCTTCTGTTGACACAAGCCGCTTCCAAAGTGGATGAATCTGAGAACCGCAGAGCAGACAGCAAGCTTGTTGGCTCCCAGGTTTCAGAGGCGCGGGAATCCCAGGCCAGCAAGCAGTGCAACAGGCTAGTGACTCAAGCGCAGGAGGAAGCCTCGGATCAGATGATCGGAGCTGTACGCCGGATCCTGGTTGAGCAGAAAGAGCTGCAAGGTTGTCCTCAGAATGAATACCTTTTATAGTCTGTGCTAGCCACTCCCACAGGGAACTGCCTGTCCACTGACAACTGCTCATGGCTGATGGCATCATGGGTGTGACAGTAGGATATCAGATCCCATCCACCCAATGGCCAAGCCAAGAGAATCATGACCCACCCAAGTGGATACAAAACCCTAATCCAAACAGGGCCCCAGCCCTTGGTGAATGGTGGCTGTTCCCAAGGGCTTCTGGGCCTGGTGTTTGCTATGGTGGCTGCTCATTCAACTAGGTTTGGGGGCTGTTGAATTCCTGGTGCCTTTGGAAAATCATTGAGGATGGGGAGTGGAAATTGAATATGGATGACTATGCTACTTGAGAATCAGAGGGGAACGAACATCTACCATAAAACACGTGCTAGGCAACTTTTAGTTTATTTGGTATCTGAGTAAATAGTTTCTTCCTTAACGGGATTCAAACAAGTGGCACATTACTGTCAACCTTGTCTGCAACCATCCGCGGACCACAGAGACACACTTTGCGAGGACAAACGATGCCTGTAGGAATTGGCAACCTGCTACTGTGACTAGAGTGAATCGGGTGATAAACGCCTCTCCTCTC